AATAAAAAATAAGCAATACCGTTACGTCTGTATTTACGGCTCCATGGGACACAAGGAGATAAAAACACACGTAACGTTACGGACGAAATACTTAGAGTCCCTATATATAGAGTCTGGCCACTCGATTAGTTTGGAAAAAATATGGCGGCAGTATATGCATAGACGCATCTTGTGTTTACCATATTTATAGAATAAAACTTTCATTGACTACATCTTATTCGACTACAAATTGATAGTATTAATAAAAGCAGAGTGAAGCTTATAAAAGTAAGTACAATTATTTGGTATATGGTTTCTAAAATAAAATATCTAAGAATAATGATATTATAAAGAAGTAGGATTTGTCATAAAAATTGTAATTCTAACCTCACATTGTTTTTAATAGTTTTATTTACAATGAGTTTTATTTAAATTATTAAATTTAAATTATTATATTTTATTATTATTTTATTATTTTAATTATTATATTTAAATTTATAATAAGTTTTATTTAAATGAGTTTTATTTATTATTGTGATACAAACATTATTGTAATACTGAATATATAAGTAATAATAATATATACTGTATACTGTAATGATATGTTTTTAAGTATTATTAGTTAATTTTTTTTATTTTTAAATAAAAATTTCTAGAAAAGAATAATATTAATTGTTATTAATTTTTTTGTTCTATTTCTTTTCAAATTATTATACTTTCTATAAGAATTCCTATTGGTTCCGCCATGTTTTTTCAAACTTTATTTCGACCAATAAAAATAAACACAAGCGTGGCCAGACTCTATATATAGAGACTCAAGAAATACCTAGTAACTTATGCGGACTTCCGGTGCGGATTACGGATTACGGGCTGTATGTGACGGCACCCTTAGGCTTGTTCTACAATACGTCGTATGTCGGCGTCGGATGTCGTTTGTCGTTTGTCGTACGTTGAATGTCGGATCTGAATACGACTTGTCATTCTACAATATAGTCGTAAGTCGGTGCAACAACAAATATAAAAATGGAAAGTAGAGTGATGAGAAATTATTTAAATCTATTATTAATTTTGTTACATATAACAAAAATTAAATTATGTTTAAGAAAAAGACGCAAAATAACAAGAAGGTGGTGGGTAAAACTACATATTTCAAGAAATATGAGAAAAACTCATGGTGCTCATCGAACATTATTTACATATTTTCGGACGAATAATCATGAGTTTTTTAAACTTACAAGGATGTCGGTGCAACAATTTGATCACTTACATGATCTCTTATATTATGTTTGCATCCAGTCGTAAGGCCTATCGGAAGTCGGAAGCCGGAAAAGATGAGAATTGACCATCTCTCGTTACGATAACGACAACCGACTCCCGACGGCTTCATGCGACAGCCGACAACCGAGTGCGCATGCGTCCGACATCCGACGCCGACATACGACATATTGTAGAACAGGCCTAAGGGTGCCGTCCACGGACTAAGGAATAGAGGGACTGAGTCTAAAGTCCTAGTTTAGGCGAGAGGAGATGGTAATTCAAGCGTGCGGGGGGGACTGCTTTCCGCCATATTGATGTAGCAATTCTCACACAGAGATTCTGTGTCTGTGACATGGTTACACTTGTGTAGTGGTGCCACTAGACATAACGAATGACAAGCGTAAAGAGATTAGGCGGTTTTATTATTGTTGTACTATAAATTTTATAAAAATACTTTAACTTTTATTACTTTGAGGCTCTGTATACAGTAGACAAAATATTAGAAATAGCAATAATCATTTAATATTAAAAAGAGAAATTATTTTACATCTAACAAGAGAATAAAATATATTAATTAGTTCCAATTCTTATTTCTTAATTCATGCATTAATTTTTTAATTCTTTTATTTTTAAAATAAATAATTCCAATTTCTTATTTCTAATATTTAATAATTATTCCTATTTTTATTTTCTATTTCTATTTCCTATTTTGTTTATTGTGCGCAGAATCTGACTTTCATTTCTCAC